ATGATCGGGGCTGGCGCCAGGCACCAGCAATGGGTGCAAGTGGGCCTAGCACTGGCAACAGGTGCAAGCACCAGGTGGGACCACGATGCATGGAAGCAAATAATTTTCAGTAACCACCAGAGGCTCGCCCCATGGCAGTGTCCGGCACCCTGCCTTGGTCTGGTGCCCCACTCACCTGCTCCACCATCCCACCATGGCCAACACCTGCCATGTTCCACACACACCGCTTGGTGCTCATCAAACATCATAGTGACCGGTTGTTTGGTTGTTTGGTTGTTCTGGTTGTTCCGCCATTCAGTCTATTTGCATATTAGCCTTTTATTATATAGGATTATAATAAAAAATAAAATATATAGTAAAAGTGAGGATATTAAACATTAGGTTTAAATCAATCTTTCCCCCTCCACCTCAAATTTTTTAAAGGAGAAATCAAGCTTGCTTTCTTATCATGAGTTTGCTTTATACTGTTTTATGTTGAGATGACTATATGCAGTTCCTTCACATAAAGCTGAAAAGCAAACATTTTAATGCTATGAGAAAGGTGGCCTCACGGATGGATCTCTGCAAATGAGAGAAGGGTATTTATTGATTTTTCTCCAATTGGCAGAAACTCCTTTATCACTATTAACCAGAATTTGGATAATGTGATTTCTCCTTTCATTGAAATTCTTGTGATAATGTGAATGGATTTCTAGTGTGCTTAAACTTTTTCCTATCATGTATTTCCAAATAATGTGACACTTAATAGATGTTTTGCTATTAGACTTCTTTAGTCTTGAAGTTAGAATATCAGTTCAGCTCCCCACTGAAGTAATTCTAACCTCACATTCCTTTGAATTCATGAGCATTGTTGGCATACTTTATTATATTTTCACACATTCCTTGTAATTTTGATTAAATTCAGTCCTGTGCTCTAAAATTTCAAGTGAGCCAATTTTCTGAAAACAATAAATTCTCTTCACCAACTCTGCAAGAAGGATCACTGCCTTTTTTTTTTTTTTTTTTTTTTTTTTACACAATTTTACTTTTAGCTCCCCACCTTCAGAACACCTTTTATTTTGGTAGCACTTTGGTGGGAAACATCAGACTGTTTCTTCACATAAAGCTGAAAACAGATTGACAGAACCATAGCAGCCTGGATTTTATTAGTCACACCCTCTGATGTGGAACTCACATCTACAGGCGAACATAGAGACTAGAACTCTGTGCCAGCCAAACAATGCCTTGCTTGCCTCCTAGGTGTTTAGAACATGAAGAACAAATACTAGTAAAAACCTTCCCACCTTCCTGCCATCACAGCTTTGCCTTCGGCACAGAAACCATTGTATTAATCCAGAAAATTGTATTTGTTTTAAAATACATAAAGTGTTCCAAATACTTCATCCTGAGTAGTTTATTTTGGTAATTTTTGGCAAAATGGTATTATTAGCAAAACTAGTTTTGGCAAAACACATTCTTCCAAGCATTCCTTTCTAAGGATTCCAACTAGGGCTGTTAACCTGTACGCTGTTACTGACATCTGCCGGTCCACTCCTCTGCAAGGAAACGCTGCGATTAATTAGTCGTGTAGAGAGCGTCATCAATGCATCTTCCAATAGCATCATCCAGAATGGCACTTACAGTTCCTTTACTTCACTTAGTCCCAAACGTGCTAATTTCCCAGGCAGGTTGGTAAATGGTGAATCTATAATTGTAAGAGTCATTTTGGCTTTGGTTCTTAATTATGTGACCTTTCAGTTAGCTTCTTGAAGCCAGACCCAATCTGACGTAAACTCTTGTTGTAGTTGTATATACTGTTGTAAACAGTTCGCAAAACAGTGGTTTTCAAAGTGCAGTTTCAGGGACTCTGAGGATCCTTGAGACTTTGGGTAGGCAAGAGTCTATGAAGTTAAAACTATTTTTGTAACAATGCTAAGACATTATATGTCTTTTTCACTCTCTTTTTGCTTAAGAATGTACAATGGAGTTTGCCAAAAGCTACATGATGTGTGATATCATATCAGATTGAATGAAAAACAAATATAAGCATCTAGTTGCCTTCTATTAAGCCAGACATTAAAAAATTAGTGAAAATGTAAAACAATGTCTCAGTTCTCATTAAGGAATTTTGTTTCTGGACACTATTGCATTTTTCATAAAATTATATTATTTATGCAAACAAGTAAAAGATTTTATTTTAAAGAAATACTTTTAAATTTCTAAAATGATAAATATTGATAGATGTAACTCACATTAACAAAAGTTCTTTAAGGTCCTCAATAACTGAAGAATATAAAAGGGTGCTGATGCCAAAACCTGTCATAATTACTGTCATAAGAGGCTCTGTAAAACACAGACATTTTCTATTAAGCCTCTGGCATAATTTACCTGGGACCATTTTTTTTTTTTTTTTCATCTGATGCCCTTTCGATGAAAATAAGATATTTAGCTGAAACCGATTTGGCTCAGTGGATAGAGCGTCGGTCTGTGGACTGAAGGGTCCCAGGTTCAATTCCTGTCAAGGGCATGTACATTGGCTGCGTGGGGGGAGTGCAGGTGGCAGCTGGTTGATGTCTCTCTCTCGTCGATGTTTCTAGCTCTCTATCCTTCTCCCTTCCTCCTTGTAAAAAATAAATAAAATACATTTAAACAAAAAAAAAAAAGATATTTAGTCAGACAAAAAAATTATCAAGGCAAACAAATCCAAATTTGAAATAATCTTCGCTATATTACCTAATAAGTGACTTTATTTTTTAACTTCTGTATATGTCTTGTGAATCTCTAAAAAGTATTCAACAATAATTCAATATTTAAAAAATTATTAATATTTAGATTTAAATTATACTCTATGGTGGGAAAAATGAATACCATATTAAAGTACTTAAGGAAACATAGACCTTTTTTACTACAACAAATCAATATTCAAAGAAATAAGATTCATTTCCTTAAGCTTTTTTAACTCATTAAATTTTTGAAAAAGTAAGCATTTATAAGGGAGAACTTTGGAAATATTATAATTGAATTTAATAATTGAAATGCTAGCTTTTCCAAAAATTTTAATATTATTTATACTCAAGTATAGTTAAAACATTTTGAAAAATGTTTTCCATAAGCTATTAAAGGCCTAAGTCCCCTTTATTAAACCAATTAAATTATTTTCCATTATTTTTTGTTTTTAGAAGGAAACATTATTTCAATATAATTATGAAATCCATTAAGAATCAGATTTTGGATATTTTATATTAAAAGCCAAGAATAAAAACAAATATAAATCAAGGTACAACTTTAAAAGTGAACAAAATTAATTATGTTTTATTAGGAGTGATGATGATGATGATGATAATGATGATGAAGACATATATACCTTCTTAGTTGGGAGAAAATAAGGTTTTCAAACAAATTATTTCTTGAACAGCCTTCAGGAATGAATTAAGTTTGAGAAGCAAGGTTCCACAGTATATGCAGACAATCAACTTGTATTAGTAGCTTTTTAAGTTATTAAATATTCCACAATACAAAATCCAATGCATAATGTAAATATAGGCATAAAAATAATGAAATGAACATCGAGGCAGCCACCATTGAGCTTAAAATATAGAACATCGATAATAGTGTCAGGACCCCTATTTCATCTTCCTGATGACATTCCTTTCTTCCCAGACACAGGATAACAGCCATTCTGAATCTGGGTTTATTACTTGTTCTTTATTATAATACTAGAGGCCTGGCACACGAAACTCGTGCACAGGTACGGGCCCTAGGCCTGGCCTGGGACCAGGGCCATCTTCCCCAGCTGCCAGCAGCCGGCCCAGCCCCCTGCTGCCACTCTCCCCAGTTCCCCATTTGCCATAGGGGGTTCAGAGTCTGCAGACCTGGGGGAAGGACTGGGAGGTGGTCAGTGCGCCTCATAGCAACTGGTCAAGTGGTCATTCTGGTTGTTCAATTTGCACATTACTCTTTTATATATGTAGATGTGCTCCAATCCTTTGCGGGGGCAGGAGGGAATTGGGGGGGAGGGGGCGTGGAGGGCGGGGAGGAGCAAAGGAGGGCTGCTGAAAGGTGAGAGGCTCATTTGGCTGAGCAGCGGGCTCCGTGGGGCCAGGCCCAGAGTCCTCCACGAACCGAAAGCCCTGGGTAATTAGAGCTAATTACATGTGTGCAAACAGCCACAGGAGGCCTCTGGCCGGCCTCCCCCACCCCTCGGCCTGCCCCCTGCGATCTTGCCCCAGCAAAGGGGCTTTGCTGGCCAGCTGGGGCTGAGCGGGCCCTGGCGACATGGGCCCCAGCTTTTGAGTCCTTAGGTTTTTATTATCTTGGCCTCCTGAGCATTCCCGTCTCTGCGTCTCTGTGAAGATCTGAGAAGGTGCTTTCCTTGTATCCAGCCTCAGGGAGTGCCAGTCTGGAACTGAAGCTGCTGGATGAGGAAGGAACAGAGTTGGTGATCAATTTGTGCCTGCCTGGATGCACCATAGCACACCAATAGACTGACTTTTCTGAGCTTTCATTTGCAGGTCCGTACCGTGCAGGCCTCCTCTGAGACGCGGAGTCCAAGGAGGAGGAGAGAGGTGCGAATTCCTCACGTGTGAATAAGGCTTTACACTTTGAACTGCTAGCCTGAATCAGTGATCTATTTCATGGTTTCAGGAGCCTTTGGCAGGTTGGGTTGGAGTGGTGGTGGGGCAGCGTTTCATATTTCTATAGAGGCCCGGCGCACAGGTCGGGGCTGGCCGGCCTGCCCTGAGGGGGGTCCCGGATCAGGGTGGGGCTCCCGTTGAGGGGTGGAGCTGGCCTGGGCCAGGGGGTGGGGGTCCCTCCTGGGGGGCTGAGCTGCAGGCAGTTTGCATGCGGGCCATACCCACCCCCCATCAGGGTAAGGGTGCCTGCTAGGGAGCAGGGCCAGCAGGGGCGAGGGTCCATGGTCATTGTGATCTCTGGTCATTCTGCCATTTGGGTCGCTGGGCTTTTATTATATAGGAATATGACATAAGTATGTAACACTAAACAATGTATCGCCTTTCCAGCCAGCATCACGAGATTGACCCACGGTGACGTCTGCAGCATGCTCATGGAGGTCTCTGCTATCTTTCCAATCAATGAAGCTTTCACCACTCTGCAGTGGCCCTCTTTATTCCTAATAATGCACTTTGCCTTAAAGTTTCTTTTGTCTGGTATTAACATGACTACATCAACTTTCTTTTGGTTATTATTTGCCTATTTAATCATATTTTCTTTTACCTTCGGTCTTCCTGTGTCCTTAAGTCATGTCATATGTGTCTATAGTTAAAGTTATTTAAAAAATCCACTCTGCTAGCCCTGGCCACTTTGGCTCAGTGTTAGAGTACCAGCCTGGGGACAGAAGGGTCCCAGGTTCGATGCTCGTCAAGGGCACGTACCTTGATTGCAGGCTCCTCCCCTGGTCCATGTGCATGCAGTAGGCAACTAGTCAATGTGTTTCTCTCACATCGATATTTCTCTCTGTCTTTCCCTCTCTCTTTCATTCTCTCTGAAAATCAATGGGAAAATATATTTGGGTGAGGATTTTTTTTAAAAAATCTACTCTGATAATTTCTGTATTTTAAGTGGGACATTTATCACTGTTTCTTTTTATCATAATTACTGATATACTAATATATGGATTCTTTTCTGTCACGTTATTTATCCCTTTTTTTCTATGCTTTTCTCCTTTCTTCTTTTCTATTATCAAGTTGTTTTGCTGTTGGTGTTTTTAATTCCTATCTCTTCTTTATTAGTTTGGTGATAATATTACATTTTTAGTTATTACCCTTGAAATTTTACTGTGCATACTTGCATACTTAACTTTTTACAAAGTCTAAAATATCTTTATATTCTGCTTCCTCCAAATAAAAGAACATAAAGTAAAATAGAATGGAGTACCACCAACCTGAGACCACTTACATTTTTTTTGCCTTGGTATTCTCCAGCCAGGCTGGTGGATGGAATAAATTTAAAACTTAGACCTAGTTTGTGGCTACTAGGAATAAGAAGCAATAAGAAGCAGCAATGGAAACATATTTCCATGTCACTTCCCCTGCCAGTAATCAATCCCATTCTTTCACACTAAGGGCGTGTGAACCTTGGAGGGTCTCAGGCCGGGGAAGGGATTCATGATAGGAGAGTCCTTCAGTTCAGCTGTTTACATTATGGAGGCCCCAAACCTGGTCCATTTCCAACTTATTTGGTGTTTGTGTGAAAGCTTCTAGTTTCTGGCATCTACACTTGCCCTTCGTTTTGTCGTTTGTCATTCTGATTTCTGCTTTATTCCCTTGGCACTTAATTTCTCCTGCTGTCCTGCATCATAACAAGGTAATTTGAAAGGTACAGTTTGCTGGGACTTGCCTAACATCTAGGTGTTTTTTGAGGAGGGGCTTTTCAGACTACCTAGATTCTTTCTCTACTAAAAAGCAAACAAAATCTTTTAAACTGTTGTTTGTGCATAGAGCTTTATACTATGTATGGATTTTCATATTTTGTTTCAATTCATCTTGGAACTTTTTGAGTGAAATGTACCTATCTCCTTTTTTTTTTTAAACAATTAGAATAGATAAGTACACACATGTAAAGAGAGATGTTCATCAAATGCCTGCTTGGTGATTATTTTTATTTAGAAATAACTTAATGTCAAATAACAAAGGATTTACACAGTAAATTTTGCTACACTCTTACTTGGCCAATAAGAGTTGCATGATATGAAAGATGTTCATGAAATGCTGTGGAGTAAATAAGTTGTTTTGCATGACCCCATTTTTATTTATACAAATATATACTTTTTACATTGAAAAAATTCTGGAAGGAGATATCCAATATTTTGGGGTGACATCATTTTGTTTACTCCTTGTTGATCTCTACTTTTTATTTTTTTTAAATATATTTTATTGAATTTTTACAGAGAGGAAGAGAGAGGAATAGAGAGTTAGGAACATCAATGAGAGAGAATCATCGATCAGCTGCCTCTTGCACACCCCCTACTGGGGATGTGCCCGCAACCAAGGTACATGCCCTTGACTGGAATCGAACCTGAGAGCTTTCAGTCCACAGGCTGCAGGCCAATGCTCTATCCACTGAGCCAAACCGGTTTCAGCGATTTCTACTTTTTCAATGACTAAGTATTCTGTGTGTCTTTTTATGTTAAAGGATAGGATTACTTACAACAACAAATAGAAGGGTTAGTAAACCACGTTCCAGTCTCAGAGTTGTGTCACTATAGAATATATGTCTTGTGGGTGGTGAACTCCCCAGTATTGAGGGTGTCCAATAGACTGGGTGCCCTCCTGTTCAGGATTCCTGTCATTTTGTGACTCAGAGATTACCATTTTATTTATATATTTTTGTCTGCCAATAGGTCAACCAATCAATGCCTCAGACCGACAAGCAAATATGCATTCCCCCGGAACTGCCGGAATTGCTGAAGCAATTTACCAAAGCCGCAATTCGGACCCAGCCAGCGGACCTCATCCAATGGGCAGCGGAGTATGTGCTCCTCTCTCACCTTCAGCCGCCCACCCATTCCCACTGGAGGTGGAGAGGGGGGTGGAGGAGGGCGGGACCAGGAAAATTGTGAGGAGGTTGTCGTGGCTGCAGCCTGGGAGTTGGTTAGCATGATCTGTTTGATGTTCAGCCCTTACATTGCTTTGGTGCTTTAAACTCCATACATAAACCCATCATACTGGGTCTGAAGATGGAATGCCCTTAAGTGAACCAGACTGAACAACAGGAAGCTAGGGGAATAGGCAAAGTGTGCTGGGGCAATCAACGTGTTAGATTATCACCTCACATCAGCATACGCGCACACTACCAAGACCCTGCACCCCAGCTCCTATGCCAGGGAAAAGAAAAATTCAGCATCTGGGAGCTTGGCCTGCCTAACCAGCTGTAAACCAGGGCCTCGTTTCCGAGCCTCGCCGCTAGGTGGCAGCAGTGCACCGAGGGTGGGGCTGCCATCAGCCCATGCGGTGGGTAGCCTGGGACTAGTCCAAGCTGGTCCACTCCTTTCATGAGACAGCTTCCTCGTTGCTGCTAAAACTCTCGCCCCAACCAGTGACCTTTTGCATTTTGCCATTGGGGAAAATGTAATTTTCTTTCGTGTTTCTTTGACCTGACTTACCCATGCAGTACACAGTACATTCTAGAGACCTTAGGTAAAATAGCGATAAGGGCTGGAGAGCAGCTGGCCTGGCTGAAAATGTGCCTCAAACGCAGGTGCCCTCTGTCAGGCAGGTGCCCCAGAGGCTGCTCAACGGAAGGGGCTTACACAGCCATGGCTGCTGGCCCGGACTGAAACAGCTTAACACAGAAACCCTCTCAGCTTTGAAGTTGCTTTTTAGACCAAGTGCCTCCTTGAAACTGGGGAACTGGGACTTGAGGCAGGAGTTGGGAGCTAACCAGACCTCCCAGACCATTTCCCTGCTATTTTTACTGTGCCCGGGCCTCCTAGTAGCTGTCGAGTGGAGCTGGTGGGTTGCGGGAGGGAGGAGGTGAGTAGGTGAACTGAGCAGGTGGTGGGAAAGAGCTGTGGACACCTTGAGAAGGCGCACACAATCGAATCTAAGAGGGGCCTTCGAGAGGCGCTGAGCCAGTGCACTCAGGCTCTGGGGCTGGGCCACCATGACGCTTTTACAAACGGGAGGAAAATAAGCCAGTGGGGCTCATAAAGAGAGACAGAAATGTGGTTGTTTTGCTAGAAATGAGGCTCGTTTAGTTCTCCATTCTACATGTTACGTATGACCTCTACGTGTCAGAAAACTAACTTCTCTTAGGCATCACAGGCAGGCTTTGTTTTATACTATACAACAGTTTAGAATCTCATTTTATGATTCATGTGCCGCTGTTTTATGGCAAGAAAAATGACATTCCTTGGTATTGTCCCTGACATTTATGTAAGAAAACACTCCGCTGTTATAGCCTGCTTGCTCCCGTACTGTGCTGTGTGCTATAAACTTTTTAGCTCTCCGAGTGGAGTCAGTCTGTAGTTCCCTGCAATGAAAAAGGAGGGCGGGGCCTATAAGCGCACACTGTTCAGACACTGGAAAGCTCCTAGCACGTGGTTTTACGTGACTTACAAATCTGCAGCATTTTAGAGCATAGAACTCTACAAAATACACCTCTAATTCACCACAAGCAAGAGTTTCCTGCATATGTGCTGTCATTGAAAACACATTTTCCTTGCAGTTATTTTGGGGCGATGTGCCGCGGAGAGATTCCTTCAATGAGGGAGCGGGCTGAGCCATTCCCTTCGTCTAACTGGGCAGAGCTTACACCTGAGCTGTTGAAGATCCTGCACGCGAGGGTAAGGGTCACGCTGCAGCATCCAGCGGAAGGGTGGGGGCAATGTAGAGGCTGGGCGGGTCCGGATAGAAGCCCATTGTCCACCTGCCAAGTCAGCTGGCCACTCGGCAGCATCCTAAATAAAGTTCACTAAACCATGCACTGAAAGGAACTTTCCCTGAGGGAAATAGGAATGATGTTGAAATGGGCAGTAAGCTGAGTTGTCAGTGGGGTCATCCCAGATTTCCCTGGAGCTGGTGGGATGTCCAGGAGCTCCACGCAATGCTAATCCCTTCTCTCCAGAAAGTGCAGGTCCACCCCCACCCACCCACCCCCACCCCCACCCCCACCCCCGACAGTGTCTCCCTTGCTGATCAGGATCACAAAATGAGGACCATCGCAGGTTGGTGGGGGGGAAGGGAGGAGCATACTGTAGTTGCCAGATCTCTCAGGTGCAGCCAAAGACTAACTTTCAGGAGAGCACTGTCTCTCCTCTCTGCCGCGTTACCCTGGGAGCTGTCTGGTTTAGCTCCCTAGACCCTGCTTTAGGACCCAAGACGGAGCCGTTCGGGGTGACTCCGGACTGACTTAGCTTAGCATTTCACTAGAATCAGAGGGCCTGCGAAGGCATAGTGACACTTCACTGGGGCGTCTGGAGCCTTATCGCACTGTTGGCCAACACTGGCCATTTGTTCCTTTTCCCTCTTAACCACCCAGTGCCCTGTGCAGTGGGCATGGCAAAGATCTGGGGGACCTGGGGCCCAGCTACACGAAATATCTACACAGCACCCCAATGTTCTTCCTAGGAAAGGTGAGGGGTGCATGCGAAGTCTAGTGCAAAGAATTGAATGAAGTCTGGCAGCAAGAGACTTACCACCTAGTTCTAGTTTCACCACGAATCTGGGTCTCAAACAGTCTTCTGCCCCTTGGTTTCATTTCAGGCTGCCCTATCTGCCTTCTAGGGACAACGTAGGAGTGAAATAGCAGATAATAAAAGCATCAGAAAAAAGTTAAAGTATAATGTAAATGTGCATTATTCTCACAATTCTGACATCTGAAGTTAAAATGATTAAATTTGCCGCAGCATGCTCTTCATTGGCTGAATATTTATCTACCCTTGCAAGGATAACTGCCAATCAGAGTCCCTTTCACGCCCTGACACCCCGTCCTTTACTAGGTGCTGGGAGGACACAGAGCCTTTGCTGGTTGGGTGTTTCTCGGGGCGTGCTCTCACCCTGTCCCTCCTTCCCTGTCTTCCACCACCAGGTTGGCGGCAGACTGATTGTCAGTGTCGAAGAGCTGGCCCAAATGTGGAAGGTGCTGAGTCTCCCCACAGAGCTGTTCAACAGTGTGATGAACGTGGGCCGCTTCACGGAGGAGATTGAGTGGCTGAAGTTTTTAGCCCTGGCTTGCAGCTCTCTTGGTGTTGTAAGTTAGCTTTCATGCTCTTTTGTACTTAAGGGAAAGCCTCTCTTTGGGCCTGAACGGGCGATGATACCTCTGTACACACAGTCTAGCGATAAGCATGCCCCCTCTCCTGTCCACCCCCTCGCCTGTCCCAACGAGTCACTTCCTGGCTCATCAGCCAGAAGCAGGACTTAGGAGGAAAAGGGGAGAGGTTGACTAAAATATGGCTTTTAGATTATTTATGCATTTCCATCCTTGCACTTGGATTTATTTCCATTACCACTTTACCCACTTCATTCATATTCCTAGAGATAACCAAGACCCCGCTATGGAATCAGGTTTGCTTACACTTGGGTTCCAGTCACCTAGAAGATATACACGAGAGACTGTTAAAAGGAGGTGCAACTTTATATAAAACTATTTGATAAGCATCATTGGATTTAAAAAAACAGAGATAAGAGAGCAGGAAAGGAAAAATGAGGCTGTGTCTATACTTATAGTCATGATATTATCATGGATGCAATATGCTCATACAAATGTATGCCTTCTCCAAATTTAACTTGGTTTACAATTGGAAAAATCATTTTCCTGTTTTAAAAAAGAAGATACTGCAACTAGTTCATATATATATATATATATATATATATATATATACTTAAAAGCTTTAGGTATCCTCTTATATGTGACTCACTCTTGTTAAACACTGTTATAACTTAAATGAAGATTAATCAGAAACATGGTTTTTAAAAATCCCTGAAATACATACAAGTTTAAAAGTTAATGAGAAAAGTATTGCCTCTGCCAAAACCAATGGTATAAAAAGGTAGTTTGAATCATCCAGTGTATCTAAGCACGATTTTACTCTTTCTTCTCCAATATGCTTGAAATATATATTTGACCCTTTTGTTTCTGGGGAAAAGTACCAGAAATATTGTAGTCCACCTTTCCCTATGGATTTCCCCGCAACTTTCCTCCTAACCATTTCTTGGAGAGGAGGAGAGGAGAGGCCATTTGTGGTTTGTCTTCGTTGCTCTTTATGGCAACACTGTATAGTGAATAAGTGTTCTCCTCCAGAGACCGGAGGAACGCAGCAGGGGCAGGTGAGCTGGGTAGGTGAGCTGCCACTCAGCACCATCACACTTCTGTGGAAACAGCCCCCAGGACTGGGGGAAATCACAGAGGAGAAAATTTAAAAATGTCACTTTTATCAAAGTCTCACAGGGCCACAAATTTATTCATAGCACATTCAGAGATGTTCAGGGGGTGGGGAGAATTATTTTAGTTTATCTGTAGGCAATTCCAACTTTCCTGATCTACACCACCCACAAAGGGTGAAGTAAGAAAATAAGTAGATTCTTTTTTTTAAATAAATCTTTATTGTTCAGATTATTACAAATGTGATCCTCTTCCCCCCGCCTCAATTGCTCCCCTTCACCAGGTTCCCACCCCACCCTCTGTCCTTTCCCCAACCCCCATTGTCCTCATCCATAGGTGCACAGTTTTTGTTCAGTCTCTTCCCGCACCCCCACTCCCCTTTTCCCTGAGAATCATCAGTCCACTCCCCTTCCATACCTCTGATTCTATTATATTCACCAGTTAACATTGTTCATCAGATTTTTAAATTCCCTTGGTTTTTAGATTCACTTGTTGATAGCTACGTATTTGTTGATCATAATTTTTATCTTTATCTTCTTCCTCTTCCTAAATACAGTAACCTCCTTCAGCAATTCATATAATTCTGGTTTGGCAGTGATGAACTCTTTTAGCTTTTTTTTTATTTGTGAAGCTCTTTATCTGTCCTTTGATTCTGAGTGATAGCTTTGCTGGGTAGATTATTTTTGGCTGTAGGTTCTTGTTATTCATCACCTTGAATATTTCTTGCCATTCCCGTCTGGCCTGCATGGTTTCTGTTGAGAAATCAGCTGACAATCTTATGGGTGCTCCTTTATAGGTCACTACCTGCTTTTCTCTTGCTGCTTTTAATATTCTCTCTTTGTCTTTTGCTCTTGGAATTTTAATTATGATATGTCTTGGTGTGGTCCTCCTTGGATTCCTTTTGTTTGGGGTTCTGCGGACTTCCTGGACTTGTAAGTCTATTTCTTTCCCCAGGTGGGGGAAGTTTTCTGTCACTATTTCTTCTAGTACTCTTTCGGTATCTTGCTCTCTCTCTTCTGGAATCCCCATAATTCTGATGTTGGTTCACTTGAAATTGTCCCAGAGGTTTCTTACACTATCTTCAACTTTCTGGATTCTCTTATCTTCTCCCTTCTGCAGAGGAGTGTCCTCTGGCTCTTTGTGTTCTAAATCTTTGTCTTGATTCTTGCGATCTTCCAGTCTGTTTTTAGGACTTTGTATAATATTTTTTATTTCAGACAATGTTTTCTTCATTTCTTGTTGATCCCTTATTATTTCTAGTTGCTCCCTTTTCATATCCTCATAGGTCTCATTTATTTTACTGGCCTTTTTTAGGATATTGTTGAATAACCTTATAACTGTAGTTTTGAACTCAATGTCCAATCTTTTCTTTTCCTCCATCTCCTTCCTTTGTGTCCTTCTTCTTGTCTGCATTTTAGTTGTTTCCCTGATTTGATGGAATAGCTTTGTGTGCTAGGTGTTCTGGTAGAGCCCAGTAGCACAGCCTTCCCAGTTACCTGCAGTGGACAGTCTTGGTGTAGCCCTTTGTGGGCTGTGTGTGCAGTCTTGTTGTTAAGCCTTGCTTATTGTTGGTATCACTGGGAAGCATTGATCTCCAAGCCAATTGGCTGTGAGGATCAGCAGTGTCTCAGCTAGGAGGGTTTCCGTACTCTGCTTGAATAGGGCGGGGTCTCGGGGTGGCGCAGACAATCTTTGGTTCCCTGTCAGTCTCGCCTTAGAAAAGTCCTGTTCGTGGAGAGTTTTGGAAGATTGGTTGCAGGCGCGCGCGCGCACCTCTTTGGTAAAGGCGCAGACAAGCTTTGGATTCCTGCAAGTCCCTCCTTAGAGAAAGCCAGCCTCTGGGAGAGCTTCTGCGCTCAGCCACAGGTAGGGCGCAGTCTCGGGTTGGTGCAGACAAACTTTGTTTTCCCTTCGGCTCCTCCCCAAGTCCCGCAGTAATGGCCTCTGGCTTCACACACCTCCAAGAGATCTCTGCCCACTGCCTAACAATCTGGCCTCTCCCTGTCTGGGGCCGTTTATCAGAGCAATAGGGTGATTCTGTTTCTCTCGGACAAGAAAGCCAGCCGCGTTAGCTGTTCGCCCTCTCCGCGCCAGGAGTAAGCCAGTAGCGAACTCAGCCCGGCCCGCCCTCTCTGCGTGCAGGGAGTAAGCCAGCAGCAATCTCGGTCCAGCCCTTCCTCTCCGCACCGGGATTAAGCCAGCGCCTTTTCGCGCACACAGTTCTTCGTACCTTCACAGTTCCTGAGGTTCAGCATGCCTTCTCTCTCCTTCCCAGATGGCAGAGCCTCCTCTTAGCCAGCCATCTGGCACTTCAGGGCAATGCCTCCCCTGTTTTTCAGTTCTAAATTCAAATTTGTTGTGGTAGGCTGCATTCGGGTGTCTACCCTATGCCGCCATCTTGGTTTCTCCAAAAATAAGTAGATTCAATCCAATTTGGAACTTTCATCTGATGCAATAACTGAAACAGTTTTAAGGTAAATTGTCCAGTCCCTCGGGCTTCTCCTCACCGCTCTTTCTTTAAGATGACAGTGAATTGGCAGTTACTAAATAGTCCTGGGGATGTAAATAAAGCACAGCTTAAGGAATATAGTCAATAATATTGTAATAACTATGTATGGTGTCAGGGGTACTAGACTTATCAGGGGGATCTCTCCATAAGTTATACAAATGTCTAACCACCATACCGTGCACCTGAATTAATGTAATATGGAATGCCAACTATAATTGAAAAAAAGTATTAAATCAATTGACTATATTTTTTAAAAAGATAGCAGTTGAGTATATTAGGAAAGGGGTAACTAGGACTTTAGAACACCCAGCTGAAAGGCTTCCCACAACCCTTGGTCCCCTCTGGCACCTCTGATCTGCCTGCAACTAAATGCTCATCTTTGTGGTGGCTAGCTGTCTGCAGTGTAAATCTTTGGTCCCACCTCTCACAGCACAGCAGTCCCTGCCCTGGCTCATCTACATTCTTGCTGGTGCTCTCGGCCTCCTGGAGTTTCTTCCGGATTGCCCTCACCTGCTCCCTGACTTTTCTGGTCCTACTTGAGAGCCCCTCACCGCCTGGTGAGATGCCTGTGTCCTCTCCTCATCCACGTCCCTCACAGTAACCAAGAATGACTCTGGAAAGCCACATTCCAGCCCTCCCTCGGCTCAGCTCACTGTGCAGCTACTAGGTTGACTTTGATATGGCTGCCTCCCAAATTGAGGAGGGGAAACCATGAAGGGAACTGTACCTTTCTACCTCCCTGCCAAGTGATGACGTTAGGTTAGATGTTCCACAAGATTCTTGTATCTCTATTCCCCCTTCCCTGCTTCCTCTGAGACACACTCGGGCCTCACTCTGGAGAGCAATGTACCTCTCCGATTCTGGGAGGTCCTGAGGTAGATGACTTTGCCCCCTCATCGTTTCTACGTCAAAGGACATCCAGAGGTCAGCCCGAAGGTCTAGTCCATAAGTAAAGGGCACTGTGTGAATCCAGGAACCAATACTGTTATACCCATTAGTTTCATGTTAGACTATTGCTAGGAACGTAAGTGTGGGAGTGGTCAGGGTGTCGCCAGCTAAAGGAGGGTTTGCATTCTACTTAATCCAAATGTCCTTAGAGGCAAGCCCAGAAATCCCTCCCTTTTTTGCCAACTCACCAGCCAGCCATGATGTCTGTGCCACTTAGAAAATCCAGTTTCCTCCTTATAGAAAAGTCTAATGGCAGAGATTTTAGGCAGCAGGAACTTCAGTCGTGAGCTCTCTGAGTCTACACACATGACTCAAGATGCTACCTGAAGACCTGTACTCCTCTTCCTTTTCAGCACCCCCTTCTAGAATAGCCTCTCCACCTCCTGTTCCACTGAGACCAATTATATAGAAGAGGAGGTTGTGAAACTGTACTCCTGGAAGGAATGACATATCTTGTTAGCAAATAACTCACTTTCTGAGACTTTCACCTCTAAATTCGAAAACCAGGCTCATAAGATGCTGAAAGGCTATCTCTATCCACCACCCCATCTGACCAGAACAATCTGTGCCTTGGAATGCAGATTGCTATTGACTTTAGATTTATTTAAGCTAACCAAAACGCTCCAGTCCAGAGAGTTCTTTCTCTATTCATCCATATATTAAATCTTTTAATATATTTTAAAACTTCATGAGGGCAGTAGGATTTGAAGGTTCTTTGAATGCCCAATAAAAGACTTTGGGGTAGAAAAACATCTATATTCGTTTGCTAGGGCTGCCATAACAAAGAACCACAGACTGGGTGGCTTAAACAACAGAAATTTATTTTCTCTCAGTTCTGTAGGCTGGAAATCTGAGATCAAGGTGTGTCTGAGGCCAGTTCATTAGGCTTGTAAATGGCCAGTGTCTCACTCTTTCTGCATATGGTTGTTCCCGTGTACACTTCTCCCTCCCTTTCTACCTCCTTCCCTCTTTATTCTCTCCTTTTCTCCTATTCTTATATGGACACCAGGCCTGCATAATTAGGGCCACTCTAATGACTTCATTTTAACTTAATTATCTCTTTAAAGGCCCTGGCTCCAATTATGAGTTGGGGTTTCAACATATGAGGGAGACACAGTTCATCTCATAACAACACCTTAAATTGGATGAGACTGTAGGAAGAGAACAACAGGACAAAAGTGGCACAGGAGTAGGGTTTGTTGTTTTTTTTCCTTTTTCTAAAAAAAAAGAGAGGCAGAGAGAATGAGCTATGGATGGAAATTATGAAGTTCAGTGCATAAATGCCTGCAAATCTACCCAAAACCATTATCATGCTGACCTCCCCTACACGCATGCTCTTCATTCTCACTGACATCCTCTCACCCAGCTTCCCGCATGCCTGGCCTCCCACCCTCCTTCATGGTGATGCCTGGCTCACTCAGTGCTTCACAGCGATTTCTAGAAGAGGACTCCCAAGGTCAGGGAAGAATAAATGCTAGTGGCTTGCTGCAAACATAAATTTTATTTTACATCATGCAGTGTTATCATTTTAAAATTCATATATGTTGAAGATTTTGTTTCATTTAATAGCCATGTCTGTAAATCTAAAAAAAAATGTAATCATAGATCAATTATAATTAATTAATGCAAATAATGTTTAAATTACCTGGCATCAGGTAAAGCTGTCACTCCAGGAAGATGGGTCAGCTTTATTCAGCATCTTCACATATCTCCTGACATACAGATTTACATCCCTGGGTAACACGCACCACAGTTAAAGGAACATGACATTCATAATAACTCAGGGAGAGGAAGGCAGCAGAACAGCAAACAGAAGCTGCAAGTGAAGGACAATGCTGGCCAGCCACTTGGAAAGTTATAGAGCTGCTGCTGCTTTCACCCAGTTTCACCACTTGGGACTAACTTTTCTCTGATCCGTGGGGAGTATGTCAGGAGAATCTACACATCATCTGTTTTAGTAAACCACCAAGATAAACATGCTGGCCTGTCTTTGCTAACTCAGACCTAAGCAATCCTTTCTTTGAATCATGTCTTTCCTTTATCCCATCATTTCACAACTCTCTTGCTTGTGAAATGTATCCAAAGGGTAGGTGTATTTAAAGACAAAGCAAGCCACAGCTGGTGTGGCTTTACCTGCAGACTTAAGGGTCCTGGGTTTGATTCTGGTGAAGGACACATGCCGGGGGTTGCGGGCTTGATCCCCAATAAGGGGCATGCAGGAGGCTGCCAATCAATGATTCTCTCTCATCATTGATGTCTCTCTAAATAAATAAATAAATAAATAAATAAATAAATAAATAAAGATACCCAGTTGACCAAGATTTTTTGAGTGAATTAAATAGCATTTGGGTGTAAAAAATTCAAACTTGCCAGAATATTATATCATTCTCACTTCATTTTATAAGAGCAAATGTTTGTTTTCCTTCCTGTATCTAAACCAATCTGAGGAATCTATTCGGGAACAGTGACTCTCTCCTTATTTAATCTCACGGCTTTGTAGACCATTTCCAAAACTCTCCAGATAGCATGTGAAGTCTTATCATGTGACCACGACACTGGGCCTGCCCGGATTCCTTTCAGCACCTTCCAGTTCCTCTACACGTATATCGCTGAGGTGGACGGAGAGATCTCTGCATCGCACGTCAGCCGAATGCTCAACTACATTGAACAGGAAGTGTAAGCTTTTACCAGTGGGAGGGGAAAGACGACCAGGAAAATACTGTAAATCTAGCAGGCCAAGGCAGACTGATGTTCCTGTAATATACTGATCTGGGAACAGAGACATACTGTGAAGAACAAGAGGGAAGGATCTAGAAGAGAAGGGGCAAGGGAAAAGGAAGATCGGTATAGGACAGTGACAGAGTGTTGCCGAGACCAGTAGCACAGCATCACCCGAGAACCTGTTAGAAATGCAGTTTCTCAGGCTCTATCCTGAACCTCCCAATTGGTGATTCGGAGGCAGGGCCCGGGCATCTGTGTCTTACACGTCCTCTGAGTGATGCCAACTCAGGTGTCAATGGGTAGGAGTGGAGGAGGAGGGGCAGGCAGTCAAAGGTTGAGAGAAAAAGAGGGTGATGAGAGTGGGAGCTGCAGCAGAATTCATTTGGAAAATGTATATAATCTTCCTTCAGATTAATTGTCAAGTGGACTAACATCATATATATATATTTCTTTCCAAACAGAATTGGTCCTGATGGTTTAATCAAGGTGATTGACTTTACTCAAAACCCAAGGGTTCGGCTGGAGTAAAAGCAGAATTTTGGAGATGATTGTGCTTCAGAAGAGCTGAAACCCACACACCATCCGCTGACCATTTTCTTGTACAACTGGTACACACTAATAAACAATTAGGCCAACATGAAATCTGAAGTGTGTGGAATTAAGACATAAAACTATTGGGACAAAACACATTGACAGAAGGTTAGTATTCTTCCCACATGGATACTAAGGAACAGGGGTTGAGGAAGCATGGATAGAAAAATGCATCTCAAATGAAAACCAGATTGTCAGACTTTCAAAGTAGAATGTCAACCAGCCACAGTTTTGCTATTGTGAGGTTGTTAGGCATAATTTAGATGAGTATCTTCTTTTAAAAATTTTTTTAAATATATTTTATTGATTGTTTACAGAGAGGAAAGAAGAGGGATAGAGAGTTAGAAACATTGATGAGAGAGAAACATCCATCAGCTGCCTCCTGCACACCCCCTACTGTGGATGTGCCTGCAACCAAGGTACATGCCCCTTGACCAAATCAAACCTGGGACCCTTCAGTTTGCAGGCCAACACTTTATCCACTGAGCCAAACTGGTTTCGGCTACATAAATATCTTATACGTGGTCAATCCATGTTTTTACCAGTTTAATCCCACATTTGTTGGTATGATTCATTCATTCACTCACTCACCAATATTTACTGAGGTGAGCTATATGCCAGGGATAGGATTGCCAGGCAAAATCCAGGACACTGGTTAATTTTGAATTTTGGATAAACAATATTTTTATTCCCTACCCCCTAAACTCGGCAACCCTAGGCAGGAGCTATGCTGGCTTCTGAGCATATAAAAATAAGTCATATCTGGATTCTGCCCTCAAGGAGCTCACAGTTTAACACTAAGACAAGACATGAACTTCAATCACTTTAATGCAAATGGCCCAGAGATCAGAATTAGTCAATGTCAACAGATTCTGACACCCCGTAGAGATGAAATGGGACCCTCTGGGGAATACCTCCTGCCTGAACTTAAGAGACCGGCTGACAAGGTCACAGAAAGGTTTTTCTTTTTCCCATGAAGCAAGTGAGATTAACAGGCCTTATGGTTACTGTTCTCAAGCCCAGGTGTACCAAGGTTGCTGGGTCCCTTCTAACTGTAATACTACCCCTTCTTAAAAGTTATTTTTTAATAAAAAGCATGCTAGCTTACTTTTTAAAATATACATCTCTCTACTGAATTGGGGAGAAATTAGTGTCCAAAGAAGGAAAAAAAAGATGGTAATGGGGATAGGCCCTTGATTCTGAGCTAGAGTAAAACAATAAAAAGAGTTGAAACATATTCCATAACCAATGTCAACCCAATCCTCCTGCAAGGGCATGGCAACAACTAACCCTCTGTCTGCCATCTTTAGCCAAAGTGGCCGGTCAGGTCCACCCTGGGCCTTCGGCTGTTTGAAAGGGCTGACATACTGCAGGTGATCCTGGCAGTGTAATTAATGGGGCTGAGAGAATGAATGAACTCCTTTAACCTGCCTCAGTTTCTCTCTCATTATGATCAAATATTTAAATATGGCCCAGCCAGCATGGTTCAGTGGTTGAGCATTGACCTACAAACCAGGAGGTCACAGTTAGATTACTGGTCAGGGCACATGCCTGGGTTGCAGGTTGTGGGATCAATCCTTAATTGGGGGCCTGCAGTAAGCAACTGATCAGTTATTCTCTCTCATCACTGATGTTTCTATCATTCCTTCTCCCTTCATCTCTGAAATCAATAAAATACATATTTTTAAAATTAAATATCTTGCTTGGGAGTGGGGAGTTAGAGGGAGCAAAGGGAACAACCCCAATTTGAAAGGCCCTTAGACAGCAAATTAAGTTCATAAAAGTAATGTTTCTGGGGCAGTGTTTCCTCTAGGTCAGTGGCTCCCAATTGGGGCACATGTCCCACAGGGGGGCAATTTGATTTTTAAGGGGAGTAATTCGAGAATGAGTTATTAACAATGAATTTTTTTTATTTCTTATGGTTCTAAGGGCATAATTATGCATTTCAGTTCTGTATTATATGCTTTGAAATTTTATTTGCTATGTTTTATATCATTTCATATTATTTTTTTAACAATTTCTTAGTGATTTCTTCATCAGTACTTCAACTGTCCTTTTATTCTTTTATTTTTCTCTTTCATGGATGCTATGTTCTTTGGAAGCTTATTTAGACCAAATTAATGGCCTTTTAGGCTTCCTCCATGTGAATACGAGTTCACCTTTTGAATAATAAGAATTACGTATATATGTCACAGTGGAGGAATCAGGATTCTAGATCTGCTTAGGCAGTGCATGGTCAAAAAAAAGGTTGGGAACCACTACTTTAAATCATTGATATTGCTAAGCCCCATATGCTCATTAGACACCCAGCCTCTACAGCACATCTTCCAAACCTCCTTCAGCAGTCATCCCAAGGTTGGTAAACAGTTTTGCCCTCAACCTACACTATGCTGTATTAACAATATTATAAATGTATCAGAGGCCCAATGCACAAAGATTCATGCAAGAATGGGCCTTTCTTCCCATGGTTGCTGGCACCACCTTCACTCCAGCCCTGGAGCTACCTTTCCACCTTCCCATGCTGCCCAGAGGCCCAGAGTGGCGGGGGCAGTGCGGAACATCTGCATCGTCACCATGGGGATGACACAGGCATCCTGCCCCACCCCCAACTGTTTGGCACCTGCATATGCAAATTAGCCTGCTTTCTTTGTTGGATTAACTTGCATACTCACTCCTGATTTGCTATGGTCATTGTGGAGGTACGGTCAATTTGCATCTTTCCATTTTATTAGTGTAGACTAGAGGCCCAGTGCATGAATTTGTGCACAGGTGGGGTCCGACCAGCTCAGCCCCAATCAGGGCAAATCCAGGCAGGATCTGTCAAGAGGAGAATTAGGTAGGAGATTGGCTGGCCAGCCCACCTCGATCAGGGCCCAATCAGAGCCAAGCCAGCTGTGGGGAGGGGCCGTGGGTGATTAGCTGGTGGGTTCCACACCCTAATGGAATGGGGGGCAAATTAGACCAGTGCCAGGGTAGGGGCCATGGGAGGTTGGCTGGCAGCCCCACCCCCGATTGGTGTGGAGGGGGTTGATCAGGGGCAGAGATGGGTGGGAGGAGGGGCTGAGACCAAACAGGGTGGTGGGGGCTGATTGGAGGTGGGGCCAGACATGGGGAGAGGCTGGCCCCAAATAGGGTGGGGGGAGGTCGATCAGGGGCCAGAAGCCTGAGAGAGGGGCCATGGGTGGTTGGCTGCTGATCCTGCCTCTGATCAGAGTGGTGGGGGCTGATCACGGCAGAGATGTTGCGGGGGGAGGGATGGGGTGGTGGGGGCCTGTTGGGGGTGGGACCAGCTGGGGGGAGGTGCCACAGGTAGTTGGCCAGCCAGTTTTGCTCCTGATCAGGGTAAGGGGACCATCTGGGGTGGGGCTGGATAGGGGGGAGGAGCTGAAGGAAGTTGGCTGCTGGCCCTGCCCCTTTTTGGGTAAAGGAGTAATCAGGGGCGGGGCCAATGAAGGGAAGGGCTGTGGGCTGATCAGGATGGGGCAGGCTCATTGGGGACAGGGTTGGCCAGGGGAAAGGGCTGCAGGAGGTTGGTCAGCTGGCCCCACCCCCAATTTGCTGGTTTGCTGACTGCAGTGGGCATCATAGTGACCAGTCATTCTGGTCTTTATGGCGTTTCAGTTGCTGGCTTTATATATATATTAATATATAGATTATTGACAATAGTCAACATTTATTAAAGCACTTACTATGTACAAGCCATAATGCACAATACTTCCCATACATTCTCAAATATTTTTATAACCTGATCTAATGAGGTCATTTATTATCCCCATTTTATAGATAAAACAGTCTTAAATAAATTGTTCATTGTCACCGGTGAGTAGGAATTTGAATTCAGTCTTTTCCTCCAAACTCATGCTGCCTTGTATGCTCAATGCCGATCTTAATATGGAGTTTCCATACCCCAGAAACAGCCTCAGAAACAAATATTTAAGTGCCAGCAGCTTAGTATTTGGGAGGCAATCCCAGGAACAGTGGAAAGGGAGTAGAAAAAGTAAGTGATGGAAAGGAAGCTAATAGAGGTGGTGCTATCAAGCCAGCTATCCCTGGAGCCCAAGTCTTCTGGAGGACTCTGGGAGACCGTGGAGCACACATCTCAGAATTATCCCAACCTGAGGGGTGAGGGAGCTTTCCGCCATCTGCTAAGGGCTGCTTCCTCACCACGTTTCCATCTGCCACTGACTGAGGGCTGCTTCCAGAGATATTACTTCTTGGCATTTCCAGCTTACCCAGCTCATGGCCTGAGCTTGCTTCCTTGGCTCCAGAAAAGAAAGTGTTCAGGTAGGAAGTCATAACTGTTCACAATAGGCACATGGATTGGGGTACCACCAACATCTGCTGCAATGCCTTACAGAGATTTTAATGAAACAAATTCTTAGCATCCTAATTGCTACCACTTCTCAACTTGGGTCAGGGCAACAATTGACTGACACTGTACTCTGTATTAAAAGCACACTTGACCCTCAAACCTGGCACATTGCCTCAGACCAAGTCTTTCTTCCTTGTAATGAGATCATTCCAAAGGGGCTCTCTTAGTCCTTGCTGCCAATAGACCCTTGTCAGGCCCGTCCCACTAGTCTTCCTAGCATGACCAGAAATATCTGAATCCCAGCATGACCTAAATTAAGCTGTCAAGCTGAGGCCCCTGTAACATATGGTTTGTGTTTCTCCCTTAAAGAGAAAAACATTCAGGAAGCAATAAAATCAGGATTTTATAAAGAAAAAGAAGTGGGCTCTTTCTTTCCTAAATAAAGCTATTTTGACTAATGTGAACACTGCAGATTCTTTTAAAGTTTCCGTGGGAAATGCTAAGATTGTGGCTCAATTCCATTTTTCTCTGTGTTCTATGCTTTACTTTTTTTGATGCTGTTCATCCAGGCACCTCACTAGTTAACCAACAACTTCCAAGGTCCTCAGGGCCCTGCAATCTGCAACAGAAGGAACTGGACACTCAAGTTCTGAATTTAGATAAAAATAGGATTCTTAAATCCTAAAATCCTTGGAGAGATTCTGGAATGTTTCTGATAAATTATATATCCTATATAATAAAATCCTAATATGCAAATAGACAGAATGGCAGAATGACCAATTGCTATTATGCGCACTGATGACTAGGAGGCAGATACTCAACACAGGAGCTGCCCCCTTGTGGTCAGTGCACTCTCAGAGGGGGAGAACCACTCAGCCAGAAGCGGGGCTCACAGCTGGTGAGTGCAGTGGCAGTGGTGGGAGCCTCTCCTGCCTCTGCAACAGCATTAAGGACCCCTTGGGGTCTCTGAATGTGAGAGGGTGCAGGCCAGGCTGAGGGACAGTGTACAGATGTCATAAACCAGACCTCTAATATATATATATATATATATATATATATATATATATATATATATATATATATATATATATGTACACACTACATTATGAAGAGGTAATATGCAAATTAGGCCTGGTGCATGACATCTGTACACTGGGGGAGTCCCTCAGCCTGGCCATGACCAGACAGGAAGAGGTTATTCAAGCAGGTGAGGCCCAGAGTGGAGATGGAGACAGAGGCAAGGGGGCCTGCCCAAGCCAGCTCAGGGGCTCAGGCTGCCGGGAGCAGACACAGGGAGGGAGACCAGGGGACACTGAGTCAAGCACCAGTCCTGGCCCCCCGTGGACCCAGAGCACACACAGGCAGGGGCGCCAGAGACATTACAAGTCAGGCACAGGTCCCAGCCCACCACAGTGCCATCCAGCCTGACTCCCACCGTGGCTGGTGCTATTCGAGTCAGGTGTGTGTCCCACCCCCTGCAGGGTGCCTCCTCGCACCATGGGGGCAGGAGACAGGGTGCCTCCTTGCATGATTTCAATTGTGCACTGGGCCTCTAGAGTGTGTGTGTGTGTGTGTGTGTGTGTGTATTGCACATTTTTCTGAGGGGGGAAAAAAGCTTTTTAGCAAACTCTCAAAATTACATATGATCTCCAAAGACTTAAGAACCATGGGATTAGAAATTATTCCAGAAGACACCAAATGACTTGAAGAAAAGCAACAGGGCAGTCTCAGATCTTTCTAGGCAGATCTGAGCTCATGCTCCCAACATTTTTTAAAAAATATATTTTATTGATTTTGTAAGGAGAGGAAGGGAGAGAGAGAGATAGAAACATCGATGAGAGAGAGTCATCGATCAGCTGCCTCTTGCACCACCCCCTACTGGCGATATGCCCGCAACCAAGGTACATGCTCTTGACTGGAATCGAACCTGGGACCCTTCAGTCTCCAAGCCGATGCTCTATCCATTGAGCCAAACCGGTTTCGGCCCAACATTTAATTTATATTCCAGTATATAGCTTCTAACTTTTGAATCTTGACTATATACTGACTATAAATCTTAGCTGTGTTTTTGGTTTAACTATTGGTCTAATGCACTAGATTGTAAAACACTGCCTCAACCAAGCAGAATCATTAACCATGAAGCTAGAAGGATGTAAATGTCCTGGATAAACCTTAGTCTCAGAGCATTTAAGTGGTTGTCAGCTCCAATGTACCAAAGCAGTCCAGACACTGGTTGGTTCATTTATTTATTCAATAATTTAAAAGGTTCTACTATATACAAAGTATTGTGCTATATGTTGGGATACTATCGATACGTTAAGATAAGGTCCGTGCTTTCATAGTGATTAAATTCTATTTGGGAATACAGACATTAACAATCACACACGTGATAAGTGGAACAATAACATCCTACTACAGGGGCACATGACCTAGTTTATAGGAGTGGCATAGAGAAGTGGAAGTAAAGGCTTTCTTAAGGAAGCAAGCTGGAAGCAAACTCAGAAGCCTTTAGCTTCTGTTCCCACAGATGATTCAGGAATGTGTACCTGTATCCCATACCTCCCCACCAATCTCAAAACTCAACTATCTAGTAGCCTTCTTGCTATCTCTAGGATGACTTGAAGGCATCCCTAATCAATATGCCCAAAAATGAGCTTATATTTTTCATAATAAAACATGGGGGAAATGAGTTCATAAACTTCCCTCCAATCACCCATACAGATACAAAACCTAGAAACCAAGGCCAATGTAAATATCTCCCAAATCTTCACCAAGTCATGTTCATTTTACCTCCGATACAGAAGCACATCTGTCCTCTTTATCTCCCCTCACCCCACACTCCACTCCCCCCACACTGCACTCCCAGCTACCAACATATTTCCTCTGGACAATATGGTGACTTTTTCTATAAGTCTCACTATGGTAGAAAAAAAGAAGTCACCCTCAGCCAGTGGTTCAGTGATTGAGCGTTGTGGAAATCCTAATCAAAGTATGCCAGATGTTCGTGGCCAACTGGAGTGTGGGGTCCCTGTCCAAAGTATGCCAGATGCTCCGGGCCAATTTGTCATGCACAGGTGCAAAAGCAAGGACACAGTGAATGTACTATATGTACTGCACAGCGTGCCTTTCTGTAGCACAAATATTGATGACACAATTTGCAAGGAGTGCCGAAAGGAGTTTGGCTCAGTGGATAGGGCGTTGACCTGCAGATTGAAAGGTCCCAGGTTTGATTCCAGTCAAGGGCATGTACCTTGGTTGTGGGCACATCCCAAGTAGGGGGTGTGCAGGAGGTAGCTGATTGATGATTCTCTCTCATTGATGTTTCTAACTCTCTATCTCTCTCTCCTCCTCTCTGTAAAAAAAATAAAAAATATATATATTTAAAAAAAAAACAATTTGGAAGGAGCTTTCTTTGTCTAAGTAGGTGTAAAGATGTGTTACTGACCAGCTGGTGAGAAGCTGCTTTTATGTAGGGCACACCTGCTTGGTATGGCTCCTGTGTTTGCTACTGTATTAACAAAGGCTGCTTTGAGCGGCTGCTGAGTGAAGAAGCTACTTTGAAGAACTGCTTTGTCTAATGGCTCCTTAGTAGCAATGGCTACCTAGGTTACCATAAAGACTCCCTTATACTCCTATGACTGCTCATACCTTCTCTGTCTGATACCCGGCATCCATAAAGGTACAGTTCCTAGTAGAGGAGGACCTGTGCACCCCATAGTTGGCAGAGTTAAGCAGGATGAAGGTGTAAGTACTCTCACAACTGGCACTGTAAGCAGGATCAAGGAAGAACATACTCCGACAAACATCAACTTAGGAACCAGGAGGTCACAGTTAAATTACAGTTGGGACACATGCCTCCGTTGTGGGCTCCATCCCAGTAAAGGGTGTGTGCAGGAGGCAGCTGATAAATGATTCTCTCTTACCATTTATGTTTCTAGAAAACAAGATTTCAACAGTAAAAACTGTTGAACTAATAAAGGAATTCAACAAAGTAGCAGGATACAAATTTAGCACACAACTAACAACACTCTGAAAAGGAAATTAAGAAAACAACTATAGCCGAAACCAGTTTGGCTCAGTGGCTAGAGCATAGGCCTGCAGACTGAAAGGTCCCAATTTCGATTCCAGTCAAGGGCATGTACCTTGGTTGCGGGCACATCTCCAGTAGGGTGTGTGCATGAGGCAGCTGATCAGTGTTTCTCATCAATGTTTCTAACTCTCTATCCCTCTCTCTTCCTCTCTGTAAAAAAATCAATAAAGTATATTTTTTTACAAAGAAAGAAAACAATTATATTTTACAATGGCATCTAAAAGATGCCCTGTTGAGTCCTGTCGTCACTTCCCCCAGCCAATGCAAGGTGGCTATCCTCCACCAGAAGCCCTCACCAGCAAGGACTGTGAACTCAGATATTCCAGGTATTGTGGGAATAGCGGTGCTCAGCTCAGAGCCTAGACTCCTCGCCCCGCCCCCCCCATCCGGCCCCGCCCCTTCCCATCCGGTCCCGCCCCTCCCTGGCCCCGCCCCGTTCACAAGAGTGTAGAGCTGGGAGCCAGGAGAGGTCTATTGCGCATGCCCAGTGCCCTGCTGCCAGAAGCTCTGAGGCCTCGGCGGGGTGCGGCGCGCTGAGCACCATGAGGCGGGGTATTCCGCGGGCTCCTTCCCGGAAGCGGAAGCCCGGGAGGCGGGCCAAAGGCGGTCTGGAGTCTTCGGCGGTTAATTCCTTTTGTCGTGTGGTTCTGCTTCCTTCGGCCTGGTCTTCGCTGAAGCTGCAAGAGATGGTTCGGTCCGGATCTCGGCCGGGCCAGGTGAGGGCTGTGGGGCTGGAGAGGGACTTGAGGGGGGTCTCGAGCTGGGAGAAGTGCAAAACGGTGACCAAAGAAGACAGGAAAAAAAAAAAAAAAAACGCGCTGCATTAAAAATGCTGGGAAAGAGTGGGGGAAACCTGACATCGTAACACAGCCGCTCTGCCCATAGGTGCACATTCTGTTCGAATCGCAGCCCCCCGGAGCGCTGGTTTTGGCGAGGCCCGAGTTCGAGTCCGGCCTCGGCCGCAGTGTCGGGGGACTGAACCTCAGTCCTTGGTTGCAGCAAATCCAGGTTCTCGGCTCTCCCACCCACCGCCGCCGCCCTAGGTTGATCTTTCGTCACAATTGCTGGTAGCTTACTAGAAGTTAAAAAAGTCTCCTAGTTCGTGTCACTGCCTTTAGCCTTGCTCCTCTCAAATGCAGATCTTGTTGTAACTAAGGGATACTCTTAGAATCTGAAACCAGAGCACTTGTTTTTCAAGTTAAAAATCTCAGTTCTTCGGCCTGAGACTGCATTTCTTACCAGCCTCCGCCCCTGTCCTAGCATCGCCCAGCGCTGCCCACCTCGTCTGCAGTGTCCGGGACGCCCTGGTCCTCCCCTGCCTCCACGCCGGTGCTCTGTGTTCAGCCCCGAATGCCCTTCCTTCTCTGGGGTCTCCACTTCCCATCTCCTGACCCCCAGCTCAGTGGCTGCTTCTAGAAGCCTTCCTCTCACTCTCCCATCCGCATTGTTTGGGTGCCCCTTGGCTCCCCTCCCCTTTTGTGCTCTGTTCTAACCTTTATCAAACCACTTTTCAGGCTGGAGAAGTCGCTGATCTGTCTGCCTCCTTTCTACACAGTTTATGTCTATATCCTCAAGGCCTAGGACAGCCCCTGGCATGGAGTAGCTTTTCAGGGAATGCATCAACTCTTCCTTGTACAGACCCGCTACTTCTCCTTAAATATATTCAGTCTTCCCCCTTCTTTTTGGTCTTCCATCATTTATTAACTCACCTGTAATGCTGTTTTCCCCATTAATGGGAATCTTACCGTTAAGACTTCCTTATGAGTACTTCCAGACCAGCCTCACCTTCATAGACCTTTCCCTTATATTAATTCAGAATACACCCAGTCAGCAAGAGGTAATATCATGGTTTTGTAATGATAGTCACAGATTTAAATTCCTCTTCTGCCACTATTGTAGTGATAGTAAGCAAAGCACTTTTTACTTTTCTGAGCCTCCTCTATAAAATAGGTATAAAATTATGCCTCAAAGAATCTGGTGAAACATCTATCTCAGACTTGGCATAAATGTAACAAAATTTAGTCCCCTATAAAACTTAGTTTACTACCATCTTAATGATAACAGTAGCAGCTAAATTTAGATAGCAATGTGACAGGTACTATTGCAAGTACTTTTACATATAATTTCTCATTTAGTCTTCACAATAGGAGGAAAATACTATTATTATCTCCATTTTATAGATGAGGAAATTGAGGGATGGAGTAAATAATTTCCCGCAGTTACACCCGTGGTTAGTGGAAACAGGATTCAGACCCTCAGAGCTGGGCCGATTTCATTCTTTTGAACATTACACTATACTGAGAAAGGTATAAGGCTGAACAAGCCACCTTTCTGAAATTTAGGTTTCTACCTCTTACACATAATATCAGGATGTGGATTAATTGGAAGTAAAAGTCCCTAAATCATTCCACAAATGTAAATTTATCTTGCACTGGTTGGTAGGAAGTAGGACTTCTAAGAAATGCTTACATTTTTCTCAAATAGCAAGTAAGAAGTGGAAGAAAATGTGAGATATAACATTCTCTTGTGCATTGTGATTTGGAGCGTTCAGTTTGGAGAGTGCTTTTACAATTTGTTTCAATGGCCATTGAATAGCAAATAACCTATCAAATAAGCTTTAAAAAAAAAAATTCACCCAAGAATGGTTTTTGTTAGTAAATTTTAGAGAGAAAGGTAGAGGAAAACATCGATTGGCTGGCTTCCATAGGCACCCTGATTAGGGATAAAACCCTTAACCTAGGAATGAGCCCTGACCAGGAATCTAACCTGCAGCCTTTTGGTGTAGGGAACAACGCTCCAGCCAACTCAGCCACCTGGCCAGGGCTAATTAAGCTTTTGATCTTGAATATGAAAAGGCTATTTTCAGTATATGGAAAGATTGATTTCAGGTTCATTTTTAAATTGTGAGAAAAAAAATAAAAGCAAGCAAAGGGCACATCATATTACTTGCACTCAAGGAAACACTATGTAACCAGTAAAAAGTTTTGAAGACTATGTTAATATTGAAAAGACTTAAAAATAAAAACACAAGATTCAAAATTACAACTATCAAGTCATGATGACTAAGTAAATAATCATATGAAAGAGGATTGGAAGCCCCACTAGCAAAGAGCACATCTAGTGCCTAAATCTTGGTTTCTAAGGCGAGTGCGACAAGGAACCGCCAGACGAAGGAACCGCTGAGCTAAAGCCAGCCCTAAATCTTGGTTTCTAAATACTATTGTCCACTAAAAGGAATCACAGCTTCTTGGAGAAGAGGTTAATTCCACTGGAGAAATGAAATGGTCAATACAAGAGCTGAGATAGGGAAATCATAAGCAGAGCAAAGGGAATAATTAACAGTGAAAGCAGAAAGAATGGGGAAATATATTTGTAAAACTTATGTCTGATAAAGGGTTAATATCCACAATATAAAGGGACTCCTGAGACTCAAAAATATAAAGAAAGACAACCTAATTTTAAAAAGGGCAAAGAACTTCTAAATATTAATTGTAAACATACAAATGGCTAACAGATATGAAAATATAGTCATCACTAATCAGGGAAATGCAAATAAGTATCACAGTTAGGAGCTCTATGATATATATTAAAAAAAAAAAAACTCAAACAGGAAATAAGTATTGGTGAGGATGTGGAGCAATTGGAAACTCTTATATGTTGTTGATGGAAATGTAAAGAATACTGCTGTTGTGAAAACTGAAGGTTTCTCAAAAAAATTAATCCCACTGGGTATCCAAAAGAAAAACAATCTTGAAGTAGTAGTTGCATTCCCATGTTCACTACAGCATTATTCATAATAGCTAAGGTGTGGTAACAACCTAAATGTTCATTGATGGATGAATGGGTAAAGAAATATTATTCAGCTTTTAAAAAATAGGAAATTCTGCCATATGCAGCATAGATGAATCTTGATATTATGCAAAGTGAGAGAAGGCAGTCACAGAAGGACAAATATCATATTCCACTTATATAAGGTACCTAAGATAGTCAAACTTATAGAAGTAGAATAGAATGGTATAATAGTTGCTAGGGGCTGGAGTGAGGAGGAAGTGGGAGTATCTTTAGTAAGTAGAAAGTTTCAGTTATGCAAGATGAATAAATTCTAGAGAAGTGCTATATAACTATATATATAAAAGCCTAATATGCAAATTGCCCCCTCAGGAGTTTGACCGGAAGACTGGAAGTACGATCACTTGCTGTGACTTCTATTGACCACCAAGGCGTGGCGTGGAATGAAGGAAGGCCTTGGCTGGTAGCCAAAAGGCCCTGATTGGCCCTGATCTCTGGCCAGGCCTAGGGACCCTACCATGCACAAATTTCATGTGCACCAGGCCTCTAGTCATTTCTATAATTAACAATACTGTGTTGTGCATTTAAACGTTTGTTAAGAGATTAGATAGAACTCATGCTTTGTTCTTACCACAATTAAAATAAAATAAAAAAATAAACTTGGAGCCAGTTTGAAGAAACTCATACTGATAGAACCTGGGACAGTTTGAGCATCAAAATAATAATAGTGGACATAACCCACTGAATAAAATAGGAATCAACCAGTCTATAATAACAAGTAAATGAAGAAGGAAAAGTGCTTCAGTGAAGTCAAATCCAATTAATGTAGAAGGAATGGTATAAATTAGAAAAATCACTGTTTGGCAAGCAGTCGATTTAAGGGAAGATTCTAAAACTGCTGAGCAAAAGTTTGATGAATGGGATGTCCGCATGATCTAAAGTATCGCCTCACAAGATGCTTAATGTTTACAAAGGTAAAAAAGTAACCTTACAGTCCAGCTGTTGTAGCTCAGTGGTTGAGTGTGGACCTATAGAACCAGAAGGTCTCAGTTGATTCCCAGTGCGGGGCATGCAGGAGGCAGCCAATCAATGATTCTCTCATCATTGATGTTTCTATCTCTCCCCATCCTCTCTGAAATAAATAAAAACATATTTTTTAAGTAACCTTATAATAAAAACCCTAGCAAGCACCATCTTCAGTATTCCAAGTTTATATCACCAGTATTGGGACAGACTGACATCATGTGCCTACTCAGGTTGTATAGAGAAGGACATGGCATCCTTTTTGTGGTATTACTGCCAAAAATGCACAACCTGATTCTAATAATGAGGAAACATCAGATATGTCTAAATGTCCAGAAGGATACTACCAAAATAGTTGGTTTGTATTCTTTAAATATGCCAGGGTTGTAAGAGACAATGACAATTTAAAAAGCTATTTCAGACTAAAGGGGACTAAAGACTTATGACAACTTAATTCAACATATGATCCTGAATTGGGCATGGACCAGTTTTTTATAAAGGGCAATATTGGGGTAATTAAATGTGAATAGTCTGTAGCTTGGATTATAATATGGTATCACTGTTAATTTCCTGATTTCGATAATTATATTTTAGTTATATGAGAGTGACTTTGTTCTTTGGAAATCTTTAGGGTTAAATATTCAACTATAAAGGGATATGATGTCTGAAACTTATTCTGAACTTAACTTCAGACAACTATATATATATATACTAGTAGCCCTGCACAAGAATCCATGTGCCAGTAGCTCTCTGCGGGGCCTGGCAACTCCATGCTTGCTGCCCAGAGGCTCTCTGCAGCCCAGAGGCCCATCCGAGCCCCGGCCTGTGGTGACGAAGCAAGCATTCTGCTAGGCCACTCATGCTACCTGCTCAGTGACCATCCCCTTGGGGCTGGGGACTCTGGCTGGGCTGAAAGGACTGGGTGCCACCATCTTGTGGCTATGGGCACCGCCATCTTTGTGACAGTGATGGTTAATTTGCATAATACCCTTTTATTAGATAAGATATATTATGAGAGAGAATATGACAGATGTAATAAAATGTCAACAATTGGGGAATCTGGTTGAAGTATACGGCTTTTTGTACTATTTCAATTAGAAATTTTTTTTAAAATGATGGAAATGTGTCAATAAGGTAATTATTGTTGTAGGGTGTTTTAATCCTGGGTAATTTTCTTTGCTTGATTGTAAATAACCTCATGCATATTTTTTTGGAGAAACACTATATATAATCTTACAATTATACCATACATTTATTTCAGTACTTTTGATTTTGAAAGATAATAATTGTGGTAGTTGTTTTGGGCTTAGCAGACTCATGCTTTGGGTTTTTATTATGGTTCTGGCTTGGACACCAACATAGATAGACTGAAGAGAAAAACCCTGAGGATCTGCAGAGACCATTGGTTCTCACCGATGGCCGTGTGACTCCTTTGTATTCCAGCTTATCTCAAGGAGAAATATAACTCTGTCAATCCAACTTTTTCAGTGTATTTTTAGTAGCAATCTTAGAAAGAAGGAGTACATATTCAAATAAATAAAAAAACATTATATAAGTCCAGAAAGCTTAGTTACTGCTCAGAACTATCTTGGGATGAAATATGTAAACATGTCAAGAAAAATCATAAGTGTAACTGCCAACAGTGACTATACATGAGTGGTGATATGAGGGAGTAAGTAGAAAATTTAACCATGTCTTTAAAATTACATCTTAATAGAGATAATATATTTATCTGCTATAAAGTTGTCAAACTATGAAAGGAGATCCATGCAAAGTCTCACTCTTTGCTGTGTTCCCCAGATTCTTAGTTTCCATCTCCAGAGGCAACTGCATTGAACTGTTTCATGTGTAACTCAATATATTTGATGCATGTAAAAGCAAATGCATATTTTTTCTTATACACAAAAGGTAGCCACTTACATTTTAATTTAAAATTTAATAAAAACAGTATTGCTGTATGACTTTTAAAAGAAAGATTGAGAGAATGAGGTGTGGGTAAAGAGGAATGGTAGAGTTTTTGTGTGCTGGCCTTGTCAGGCATTATAAAGAACTAGAGGCCCGGTGCTGAATTCGTGCATGGGGTGGGGGGGGGGGGCAGTGGGCGGTTGGCGGCTGGCCCTCCCCCCTGTTTGAACTGGTTGAGGGAACAATTTGTATATTAAGGATGTGGATAAATAGAGTTATGGACTCTGCCCTATACTTAAATTACAGGCAGTCCTTGGGTTACATCAGAGATCTATTTCTACAGCATGACGTAACTCGATTTTCGACATAAGTTGGAACCCACCTACATAAGCACCTATGTCACTCACATGAAGCACATATACAGCAGTAATGAAGTGAAACAGTAAAAAAAATTTAAAAGAAAGATAACAATTTCTGACCTCTACTTGCGGTAAATAAATCATAAAAAACATAAAGCACAATGTACATACGTCAATATGACGGAATTATTTTTTTTTTATAAGCACTGTAATTGGGAGATGACGATGTAACCATGAAACGACATAAGTCGAGTCCGACATAAGCCGAGGACTGCCTATATATGTTTTGGAGAATTTGAGAAATGTAGAACATGTTCAGGGATTGGCTATAGTCCAACTTATGGTACTCTGATTGGTTACAATCATATTTCTTCAATCGCATAGATTTAAGCAAGTCTATGTTACTTGCTTGACATTTTATATAGAACAAATTGTCAGTTCAGTTGTAATTATGAGTTTTTAGAATATATCACATTTATGAAAAATTAGTATCATGGTGCATTCATAAAATGGAATATTAGTCCGCCTTAAAAAGGTCAGAAATTTTGATATATACTGCAACATGGATGAACCTTAAAGGTGTATTAAGTGAAATAAGCCAGTCAGAAAAGGACACACATACTGTATGAGCTCTAGAGTAGGCAAATCCATAGAGACAGAGTATTTGTCCGGGCTTGAGGGGAGGAAGGGATGGGAAGTTAATGTTTAATGGGTACAGAATTTTAGTTTGGGAAGATGAAAAAGTTCTAGAGATGGATGATGGCAGTGGTTGCACAGCAGTATTAATGTACTTAATGCCACAAAACTATACACTTAGAAATGGCAAAAATGGTAAATTTTATGTTTTACCACAGTAGAAAGGATACGAGCAATATTTCAGGTTTTGTCAAGACAGCATACTGAGAGTATAATAGAAAAATATTTGTGTAACTACTATAATATAATATAATATAATATAATATAATATAATATAATATAATATAATACTTTATTTCATAGATGTTATCTTCAGGAAAGCACACCGGACCTGCTAAATTAACACATGGAAAGAAGCAGTAAGTAAAATTAAAGAAGCTTACAACTTCAGGAAATCTCGAGATTTTTCAGGTCTTTGGGCTGGACTAAATTTAACTTACCCTAGAAAACTAGTGGGGCCTCTACCTTCACAAAACTCTAGGTAGGGACCTTCCATATCTAACCCTGTTGATCATTTTAGTGTTTAACAGGCTTTACAATCTTCATAAAGTGTTATATAAATCCATCTTCTTACATGGTTGGACAAGTTTCTTATCCAACCTTTGCTTAAAAGAAAATGATTACTTACAATATATTCTGGGGGGGAAATTGTGTATTTTTTTTAAAAAAAATATTAAACTTGTTTTCTAGGATCCATTTAAGAAAGATATCACGTTGTAATGCAGATTCTGGCTATCCCATCCATTCTGACTCAGAAAGTCAGGTAAGATTAAACTGATTTGATACATTGCACACTATTTTAATTCATCTTCAGGTAAAAGCTAACAAGTGGGGATAAAAATTCAAAGATAAACTATTAATTGCCCTAAGGAAATATGAATGCTTTTGCTTTAAAACATTTTCTACCAATACTAAATAGTTCCTAAAAGAAAATTTAAAACTATGCAATGTTTTCTTTTCCTGCATTAAAATTATATACAAATGTTTCCAAATGACTTTCTCCTTACAGACTGAAGCCGTACAAGGGCTTGATGGCTGTGCTTCTTTGCTGCGGAACATTTTGAGAAATGAAGATTCAGGTTTTATTTATTAAATGCTTCTATTCTGATCACCCTTTCTCAATTAGTAGTTCCCTTAATGCTTACGAATTTTTGTTTTAATTTTTTAATTAACAGGTTCAGAAATAGTATATTCAGAAAATAGATATAATCCCAGACTCTTAGAAGGCAAAAGACATGGATCTAAAAAGAAAGGACATGAAAGTCATACTGTTCCTTCATTAGTCCGGAAAGAAATTTGTAAGTCTTTTTTTACTTTTTTATTTAAATATAATACTTAATTCTGAGGGTTTAATAAATTATCAGGATTATGCAGTTGGTCTTCCATATTAATATGTTGGTTATTCAGGTGTGTGTGTGCTTATACCTCTCTCTCTTCAGCTTCTAATTGCGAAGTAGTTTTTATTGATTTCAGAGAGAGACAGCGATAAAAACATCAGTGACAAGAAAGAATCATTGATTGGCTGCCTCCTGCATAACCCTACTGGGGACCAAGCCCACAATCTGAGTACACGACCTCCTGATTCATGGGTGGGTGCTCAGCCACTGAGCAACACGGGCCAGGGTGATGGGGAACCTTTTTTCTGCCAAGTTTCCTTTGGATATTTATAACATCACACCTGGGCCATACAAAATTATCCACTTAAAAATTAGCCTGCTCTATTTGGTCAAAGATTTAAATAACTCACCCCTAATGCCTTGGCAGGATCAGACCAAATAATTAGGCCCGTGAGCCAGACATTCCCCATCCCTGCTCTAAACCAATGCTGACCAATACTACAGCCAGTTTAATTTTATAAATAATGTTTACTTATTTTATTTATTGTGTAAATAAAAGTTTATCAGAGCGTAGCCATACTAATTCATTTATGTATTTTCCATGACTGCTTCTGTGCTGTAATGGCAGAGTTGAGTAATTGTGACACAGAGCCCACCTGGGCTGCTAAGCCTAAAATAGTTATCCACTAGCCTTTTAAGAAAAAGTGTGCTAATCCTGTTCTAAACTCTTAAAGCAGAGGCCTATGTATTAAGGCCCAATGGACAAAGAAAGGATTGATAGTACCAACTGCCTATTCCTCCAGTGTCCTACTTTTTAAAATATATTTTATTGATTTTTTTACAGAGAGGAAGGGAGAGGAATAAAGAGTTGGAAACATCCGATGAGAGAGAAACATGGATCAGCTGCCTCCCGCACACCTCCTACTGGGGATTTGCCCACAACCAAGGCACATACCCCTAACCAGAATCGAACCTGGGACTTCTCTGTCTGCAGGCTGCCGCTCTATCCACTGAGCCAAACCAGCCAGGGCTGACCTACTTTTTTCTCAAGGCAGGTTATTTCTTGTCCAGGTCACCCTTCCTCAAGGAACTCTCATTTGGAATGTACATGGTTGACAGTAGTGGTGCCATGGTAGCAACTTGGATCCTAGCTTAACGCCTTAATACTCAGAGTTCTAACAGGAAACAGAAGGCAAGACTCGAATTAACATAATTCGAGAAGGGTTTATTTACCACAAAAAAACTCATTTCAGAGGTGTTAGTGGGGTATAGAGAGTCCACAAAAGATTGTATCAGCCCAGTGCCAGCAGCAGCAGCAGAACAGTTATTATCCATGGGCCTTAAAGGATGAGCTGATGGAGAGGTCACTGGGACTCAGAGATACTGTTGCCTAGGGTAGGCCATCTTGAGAAGAGCAGTGAGCTGCTTTAAGGAACAAAGCCAGCCCAAGGTGACCTCATAGAGTCGGAATAAACATTCTTCTTTCTTTTTTTGATAATGTCAAGATTCTGTTGGATTAAACCCAATTTGATTTTTATTCTTACAAGCTAATAAGTTAGCCTTACTATGTCACAGATACTGGCAGGAGATACAAGACTTCTGGGTCAGATACAAAGGAATTTTTATTCATACCACAGCAAGCACCATGTATGTCAGCATATTTGTTTGGTTCCCCTTTGCCATCAATACCCAGGAAGGAAGTACGATGGACACAGATGGATGTTGCACATGCTAAGGGTTTAAGTTTCAACTAAGGAACACTGAGTTGATGATTCCATTGCTTTGAGTGGTAAGAAGTAAGCAAGCCTGTACTTGTCTCAAGGGAAAACACTACTTTATCCCTCAAGATTGCTCAAAGTTTCAACCTTAGAAATGGCCCAGGTAAAGAGCTGAGGTGAAGGCCTACTTTCTTGGTACACAGCAAGACATGTAGGAGCAGAAGAGACTCATGAAGGACTGTCTCATAACAGTGTAATCCATATAGATCAGCAGCTTAGGGAGAGCAGGGTGGAGACAAGCAGAGGATGGACTTGGACTTGGACGAGCAGATGAGAGATATCCCGCAATCTGAGTCCCAAGCCTTAAATTCATATTTACAATATTTATTTATTTATTTATTTAAAATATATTTTATTGATTTTGTACAGAGAGGGAGGGAGAGAGATAGAAGCTAGAAACATCAATGAGAGAGAGAATCATCGACCAGCTGCCTCTTGCACACCCCCTACTGGGGATATGCCTGCAACCAAGGTACATGCCCTTGACCGGAATCGAACCCGGGACCCTTCATTCCCCAAGCCGACGCTCTATCCATTGAGCCAAACCAGTCTCGGCCTTAAATTCATATTTAGATTAGAATCAAATGGGCAGTTCTGGCCTGTGATCAGATTACAATATTTTTATTGTCCTTTCGTCATCAGAAGGTGAGACCTACTGCCCATAGGACAATAGGGCAATATTAGAAATTAGTTCTCACTGACTTATTTACTCCTAAGGTTGACTCATTAGAAGCAGAAACATCCTTTCCTTTAGGTCAGTACTCCATCTTTTCTAGTTTACCAAACTGTAGCACTATCTAGAAAGGATATATATTTTTTGTGTGGTCGCAGCTGTTTTTTTTTATATACTTTATTGATTTATTCACAGAGAGGAAGAGAGAGGGATAGAGAGTCAGAAACATCGATGAGAGAGAATCATCAATCAGCTGCCTCTTGCACGCCCCCTACTGGGGATGTGCCCACAACCAGGTACATGCCCTTGCCCGGAATCGAACCTGCGACCTTGCAGTCAGCAGGCCGACTCTCTATCCACTGAGCCAAACCGGTCCCGGCTGGTCGCAGCTGTTAATACTCTGTTACCACAGTGCTCAACAATACATAAAAAACCATGCTCTTAGTACTTGGTCTTTTCCATCTCTCCACAAGTGAAGTAAATCATAAATAGAATTTTAAGGAATCTATTAGAATATATTAATTAGTACATATGTAAAATCTTAATTTTAACATGCTTTATCTTACTATTGGAGATATTGCCCCATATGTGTTTTCTTCCTGGGACCTGTTGGCTCATTTAGTGTCTATGGAGTCGAGCTTGCCTACTTTGATGTATATTAGGAGTAAAGAGGCAGAGTGGCAGTTCCAGTAGTATATTGAGCTTACTTTTAGAGTATTCCTGACAGTTAAGGAAAAAAATCTTTAATTTAAAAAATTCTCTCTCTCTCTCTCTCTCTCTCTCTCTCTCTCTCTATATCTCTATATATATATATATATATATGTGTGTGTGTGTGTGTGTGTGTCTATATGTATTATACATTTATATGTGTATTATACATTTATATATGTATTACACATTTTTATATGTATTATACATTTATATATGTATTTTATATATATATTTTATATTTATATATATGTGTGTATATATATATACACACATATATATGCGCTAAGAGTCCAATTGTCTAGGTAATGATGTCACATAGCAACGCCTGGCTTTCTCTCCCTAGCTACTAGCCTCCTTGCAGTTTCTTCACCCCAGGAACACGGCTTGCATGATAGCTAGATGGAAATACTTTACACTGTAACCAAATGTCTGTGAGGCTTTTTCATGTGCCTCATCTCATTTGATCCTCACAGAAATCCTGGAATAGGTAGATAGGAGACCCGGTGGAATCCTATTTTCTTTTCATTAGCTGGAAAATGGAGATTTAGAAAGCTTAGAAACTTGACTTGATTGAAAAGAAGTAAGAAATGGTAGACCTTGAAAATGACTTCAGGTTTTCTCACTGTGCAGAAAAATATAGTCAAACTCTGCTGCAGTTAAATATTTTACCCTTTGTTCTCCCTGCATGAACTACAATAATAATCTGCTTCATATTGATATTTCCTGTTGTGCTGTTGACAATTACCTGAAAGAGAAGTTGGGGTGCTTTTACTGGGCTGGAAAAAGTTTGGCTAAATCAGAAAGCAGGTTTAATTAAGCAAGTTTATTCTATACATATATAAAAGGCTAAATTGACTCGCAAATGTATAATACATATAAAGCCCTTGCTGGTGCCAATCACACATCTGTGTTTCTATCTGTCATTGTCAATTGTGAATTTGATTAACACTTCTGTTATAGAGAAAGGGTAAATAGCGATATTAAAATATTCCTCTTAATTAATTTCCTTTCAATGTGCACGGATTCATGCACTGGGCCACGAGTTTTTTAATAAGCAATTTTTTAAACATTTGATAACTGTTGAATACTGTAGGCACATGACTCTACTTTCAGTAACCTACATGTATTGCTGCTTTCACCTTGGGGAAATAAGCCACTACTGACAGAATACTTTCAGCATTGATTGCCTCCATCTAGGCTAGGTATTCTTTACATATTTCAAATTATAATAGGCATCCAGCTGTTCTTATCTACAGTAGGTATTTGTTCTATATTTGGCTGGCAGGAATTATCTCACCTGTCAGGCAGTGTACCTAAGGAGCAATGCTGTATAGCAGCTAGAATTCAAAGACTGAAAAAGTTTTGAGGACTGATTAAATAGATGTATCCTTGTCATGATTCTAGTTATCAACTGACACCAATTAGACATATTGCCATCCTAATCTATTAGGTAAAGTTTTCATGTAGGTGCTTTGGTGTGATGAGCAAGAGCAAGAAAATATGCTTGTGAAGTAACAGGTGGTGTTTTTTTTTTGTTCATTTAAAAATTGTATAGTAGTATAAATAAGTCTTTTATATCCATTTTTTTGTTTTTAACTTTTTTTGGATAATTTGCTTTAAGATTTTTTTCTCAAATATAAATCTTCATTATCAGAGTGTCATATGGACTCAGTTAATAAAGGAGCAAAGTAAGTCATTTTAATTCTAAGGCTTTGATTTTTAAGAAATGTTCGAGGCTCATTAATTTATGTTGGATGATGACATCTGCTGGCAGAAGCGTAATATTGTAACTCAGCTTT